TTAGCTAGGTTTCTATGCCAGACTAGTCTGACTGACCCCGTTCTACTACTTTGACCTATGCATTTGACCTGACAATCATTGAAGCAGGGTATTGGATAAACTAAATTGTTTTGTTTAATGGGTTGCTCCACATGATCCTGCAACCGACAAAGCTTGTTTCTAATTGACTTTGTGGGTTTGAATGTTAGCCACCTTCATTTCTGCATTCTTAGGAATTCTGAGTGGGGTTTTCGAGGTTCCTTCCTTGTATGGAATTACCGTTGATGATTTAACTTCCTTATTGTTGGTGTCGTCATTAATATCACTATTATTATTACCATTATTATTATTATTATTATTATTATTATCATTATTATTGTTATCATTATTATTATTATCACTATCGCTATTATCATTATTTATTTTATTTTTACGTTTACTTACATATTTCTTGACTAATTTATCCGGGTAATTATTAAGTTCAAGGCTTCTATTGTGTGTATCGCTTCCTGTCTTTGATTTTCCTTCGTACTACTTAGTTTTTGTGCTTTGTCATTTAAACATTTCACTAATCCTATTTTTGCTGACATAGGATGGGATGATCGGAATTCGAAATATCTGCTTGAATGTGTGAGTTTTCTGTAAACACTAGTGTTTAGCTTCCCATCTTCTTTTCTTTTTACGTTGCAATCTAACACTGGAAGCTCCCCCTCCTTCCTGGCACTTTTGTCCTAAGTTCGAGTTCTTGGTGTGAAATGAGTTCGTTTCTGATCGCCTCTATAGCCATATTTATTGGTATACCTATATATATATAAAACTGACAATGTCAAAACTAACCATTTTTTCTTCATTATCCAATTTTAAATTATCTAATCTGTGTTTTAGTTCATAAGAATTAGTTAGTCTAGATTTCGAGTGAATTTTTAGGGGATTTAGTACCACTGTACTTAGAACACAAAATATAGGCAGAGTTTTCGAGCACAATAACTAGAAGGTAGAGGCAATTCAATTCACTTATGAATTGGAAAGTCAGGAAGGGGAGCTTCGGATGTTAGATTGTAGCGTAAAAAGGAAAGAAGATGGGAAGCTAAACACTAGTGTTTACAGAAAACTCACACATTCAAGCAGATATTTCGAATTCCGATCATCCCATCCTATGTCAGCAAAAATAGGATTAGTGAAATGTTTAAATGACAAAGCACAAAAACTAAGTAGTACTAAGGAAAATCAAAGACAGGAAGTGATACACACAATAGAAGCCTTGAACTTAATAATTACCCGGATAAATTAGTCAAGAAATATGTAAGTAAACGTAAAAATAAAATAAATAATGATAATAGCGATAGTGATAATAATAATAATGATAATAATAATAATAATAATGGTAATAATAATAGTGATATTAATGACTACACCAACAATAAGGAAGTTAAATCATCAACGGTAATTCCATACAAGGAAGGAACCTCGAAAACCCCACTCAGAATTCCTAAGAATGCAGAAATGAAGGTGGCTAACATTCAAACCCACAAAGTCAATTAGAAACAAGCTTTGTCGGTTGCAGGATCATGTGGAGCAACCCATTAAACAAAACAATTTAGTTTATCCAATACCCTGCTTCAATGATTGTCAGGTCAAATGCATAGGTCAAAGTAGTAGAACGGGGTCAGTCAGACTAGTCTGGCATAGAAACCTAGCTAAATCTAGATTGGTTGACACAAATAAGATAAGAAATCAAGAGAATAATTCAGATATAACACTACGTGCAGTTACACACAACCATACAATAGGGTGGGATGGAATAAGATGACAGTTCTTAAATCTAATGTCGCAGGGTAGAGGGAGGGAGAGATTGATAACAGAAGCTACGTTTATCGAATCAACTGAGTAGAATATGTGTAATAGGAATGATTCGTCACCTGTCCCAGATATCTGGAAAATTCTACTACTTCAACAACGACAACTAGTTGGGGACAAAGAAAACTATATGAGTCAAGTAGGGAAGTCATGTGATTATAATTGTTGTGACTATGAACAATGATAAATATTTTTCGAAACATTTCCATCCAGTAAATAATACTGTTTCACTTACTGTATGATACATCTAATAAACAAACTGATATTGATTTACTTACTACCACAGTTTCCATGTTTTACACATATATTAAAAGGAATACAGTTCAGGCAAAGCTTACTGCCTGAGTTAGCAGTGTGATCGAAATACTGGCGAACATTTAACGATGATACACTACCTTCAGTAACGGAATACTAAAAATAGTTAGTCAACCAGGGATTTTAAAAGATCTGGTTTCAACAGCTCAGATGTTCATCTCATGGGTAGATACGCCTTTGCATTTGGAGAATCACATTATTATAAAGGTCTAAAACTGCATCTTGCCGTGCAATAGTCAAATATTTCTCATGTGAATATTAATTAATGCTACTTAATTACACATTGCAGAAGGCCTGTTTGAATGACTGGGCTACAGGAATTCGTGTCTCACAGAATACATCTCAAACCCTTTCTGTATTTCTTTTGTTTTAATAGTGGAATTATGTCAGAAGACCACTAGATCAAGTTGTGCACATGTTTAATTGGCTTTCAACTAAATGCTGTACAACTCTTGAAAGAAATGCAGCAGCAACTTAAAAAAAACTGGTTCTCTGTTCATTTGCGACAACGCTACGTCCTCTGATATACCTCAGATTATTACTTTCAAAGTAAATCCTTTACGAAGGGGAAACAATTTACTGCAGTTTATTTGCTAAGCTTCCTTTGCCTTACGAGGTAACATCTTCAGTGCATACTCCGATGTAAAGTGAACTATTAGATTTCTGCAGGACCCCATTGAGTCATTTATCCCGGTGAATTTTAACGTGATTGGTTGCTTTTGTATGTTTTCACACCCTCTAAGCTATTTGCATTTTAACTGATTGTTTCCTTGACTTGAACTTTGACCCTTTGTGTATGAAGTTTTGCTTCATACATGTCGGTAAACTTTGTCTATATCAATGTGTCTGTTAATTGCCGATTCACTGGAATACCAGGTTTTTTAAAAATTTTCTGATATCAAAGGCCCCCCAAGGAAAGTAAAAAGAAAATCACCCTGTCATATATATAGACGACATCTCAGAAATCACTGCAAGACTCGTCAGACACCTTCAGGAATTGATGTCGTACAAAAACCAACAAAACCACTTCACTCAGCCAGCCAGCCAGCCAGCCAGCCCTGTGTCAACCAAAAGACTCAACAGCGAAAGAAGGTAAAAGCTATATCATCTGCAGAATAAGTTGCAACGACTGGGAAAAACACTACATTAGCCTAATTGAACGTCTCCTTCGTTTCATACTCATGAACATAAACTAGCCGTCAAAAGACATCACTCATATCACCTCACTGCATACAGACAGTCACGGACATCAGTTCGACTGGGACAATGTTCAATTGTAAAACAGTGAAAACATCAAGAATGCCAGAGAATTTTCAGAAGCCTGATATTCCAGTGAATCGTCAGTTAATAGATACAATGACATATCAATGTGTCTATTAATTAACGATTCTCAGGAATACCAGGTTCACAAAGCATTCTCTAGTATTCTTGGTGTTTGAACTGTTTAATATTTGAACGTTTGCCTAGTCAAATTGATGTCCGTCGTTGTCTGTTTGCAGCGTTTTGACGGGCAAGGATGTCATGTCTTATGACGCCTAGTCTATGTTGATGGATTCCAAGAAGACAAAGAGGACGTCCACTTTTGCCAATGTAGTTTTTTCATATTGGTTGCAATTTATCTTGTGGATAATGTTGACTATGTTGTCTTTCGCTGATGGGTCCTACGCTTGACAAAGCGCTGGCTGACTGAATTCATTTTGTTGGTTTGTGTGTTACATCAATTTCTGAGCGTGCCTGAAAAGTCTTGCAGTGATTTCTGAGATTTTATGTGTAATTTTCTTAGAAGCTTTGATGCCAGAGAGTTTTTAGAAGCCTGGTATTCCAGTGCATCGTCAATGAATAGCCAAACTGACATTGACAAAATTTACCGACATAATATGAAACAAAATCTTAAATACAGAGGGTCAAATTTCAGGTGAAGAAACAATCAGTACCAATGCAAGTATCCAATGGCGTTCAAGGTCACCTACCATGAGAGGTAACTAATAAATTTGTGGCGAAACCTAAAAGCCTACCTCGAATGGAGATATGCGTTGAAGATGTTGCCTAGTGGAGGGCAATTAAAGCTTCGCAAATAAATCATCCACCTGATCTAAAAATCTTTCCCATTACATCGAAAGATAAAATATTTCGGAGTTAAATACGCAGAAAATTTTCGCACTATACGTTTATATATCGTCCGAAATAAAGCTTTATTATTACTACATGAAAGTGTGCCTGTAGATTATCAGATGATAATGGTTACGTGTTGTCTAGAGCAGAGTGAATCCATCTAATACATAGGTAGTTCAGTGGTCAGCTAGTCGTCAAAAATGCCGTAAGTGTTCCTGCTGCCATCTCTCTACGATGCGAACGCTTAAATCTCAATTATTCGGTACTATGCCTGGTATGCAAAGTGAGGTTGCAGAAAATTTAAGGCTCAAACCTAAAGGTTTAATTCAAATGTTGATTTCTAGGGATTTGATTGATTGGTTACAGGATTTCATCATGAGCTGACATAACTTCTAACTTCTGTCGATTCCTAACATAGCGCGACCCTTAGCCAATCTCTTCGGCGAGTATTTGTCCTCACACCCGACCCGCTGCACCCTACTGGTCACGACTTCTCTCTATAACCCCATATAATTAACTGCCTCAGTTGGGCAAGTCACCAGTGAGCATCTTCTCAATATTCAAGCGTTGGTTTTGTGAGATTTGATTGGTTACAGGATTTCATCATGAGCTGACATTGGTTTCATTGGCGTTTCACTTAGAAGACAAAGCAGTCGTATCTGTTACCATTTAGACCTCGATAATCAGACGCTTTATTTCACAAATCATTAAAACAGAAACAAGATACAATTAAAAACGGAATTTCTGTTACATTCCTTTCACTATTGACTGTAAATTGTCATCAGTTCAGTTAATAAAGCCTTCGAAATAAAAGAAATCTCCTCTGTGATTGTATGAAGACAATTAAATAGTTTAACCATGGTTACTTAGAACATGTACATCGTTGTGTTGAACCCTTTTGATTTTTTGAAATGTTGATCCCAGTTTTGCCGCCTACTGGTTGTCTGTAAATCAATAAGAAAAAGAAGAATAAAGCGCGAGAAAAATGATTCATCTGCATTGAATAAACAAACCAAAAATGGCATCGAGAAGTGACACCAGGTAACCAGGTAGAAGTAGAAGCATTGAATAATATAATGAGATTTCTGTAGAGGTTTACACTGACATGAATTCATTCAAAAAACAAAGAGGTTCTAGGCATCTATGCTACTGGCTATCTCAGAGAGGACAGAACACAGCGCAGATTATTATATTATTGTATCCTTTAATTCCAAGAGGAACATAGCGCTTCAGCTGCTTATCTACATTGCCTTCTGTTTTATGCCAACTGTTTAGCCCCGCTCCAAGTCTGCCCACATGCTTTCATCTCCTCTTCACATGACTCCTCCATGTCACCCTCACGCTGACGACCAGCTCGCCACCTCCCTTTCGGGTTCCACTCGAGCAATGGCTTGTCTAGTGATGTCACTTGATGGTTTGTTTCCTCAGTGTATGGCCAATCCATCTCCATTTCTTCCTGCCTATTCGTTTCACAGTCGGTTCCTGCTGTGTTGGTTCGTTCATTTCTAGAGATCCCTGTTGCTGATCTTTTCTCGTCGGCCATCTGATCTTGAGTAGTATTAAGCGAAGACAACTGTTAATGAAGGTCTGAAGTTTGTTTGAGACGCTCTCTATGATGTGTCAAGTCTCTTATCCGTATAGTAGCAGTGACTGACTTCATATTGGAGTTGAAAATCCAGATCTTATTTTTCATGCTGAGTGCTGTTGACCTCCACACAGACTTGAGAGTAATGAAATCTTGTCTTGCTTTTCCGATTCTGGCTTTGATATCCTCGTGAGCTCTGTCCGCCTGTAGTTGAAACGATGCTTCCCAGGTAGGTAAAGGAGTTTGTTTCTTTCAGGTTCCTCCCATTTATGCTGGCTGATTGTTGTTTGTTGTTGTTGCTGTTTGGTGTTGGCCAGGAATCTTCATTACCTCTGTTTTATCTATGTTCACACGAAGCCAAGTCCTATCTCCGATGCTTCTTCTACCAGCTTGTTGCTTTTCACTTGCATGTCTTCCAGTGTTTGTGGGAAATCAGACATATATCATCGGCGAAGTCCAATCCAGATCCTCCGAGTTTTTCGTGCGAGTTCATTTTATGCCTGTTTCCTCATTGCCCGTTGTCTGTCTCATGATCCAATCTACTGCAATCAGGAAGATCATTGGCGATAGCAGATAGCCTCGCCTCACTCCCGTCCTCAATTTGAAGGATTCCGTAAGTCTCCTATTGTGGATTACTTGGCATGCACCATTGTCGTATAACTGTTGGATGAGATGTATAATTGTCGATGGGACCCCGTAGTAGCGAAGTAGTTGCCGAATGACCTCTCGATCGACGCTGTCGAAGCCTTTTCAAAGTCGATGAAGTTGAGATATAGAGATGTGTGACTGCCATTCCAATCTTTGTTCAATGATGATACGTAGAGTGGTGATTTGATCAATACATGACTTGTTTCTCCTGAATCCAGCCTGTTCCGGTCAAAGTTTTTCATCCAGGGCCTGTTTGATTCTCTCCAGGATGATGAGGCTTAGTATTTTGCTTAGGATGGACAGGAGCGTAATGCCTCGTCAGTTCTTGTCTTATTTCTTTGGCAGTTTGAATAATTATCCTTTCTTCCAATCCTCGGCTACCTTGCCCTCTTTCCACACCTTCTCCAGAAATGGCGTCATCAAGTGTGCTTTAATCTCTGGGTCCATTTTCAATGCCTCTGCTGGGATTCCATCTGGTCCTGCTGCTTTTCCAGATTTAAGCGTCTTGATTGCATTCAGGAATTCTAATTTCGTCGGAAGGTCGATGTTCACTGATAATTCTGCTTCCGCTTTATTATTGTTGGGCGCGTTACAGGTGGTGATCGATTTAGAAGTCTTTGGAAGTTTTCAGCCCAGTGTTTTCTTTGCTCCACTTCTTTGGTGATTGACTTTCCATTGTCATCCTTCACTGGCTTAATCTGTGTCGAACTGTCGCCCGAAAGGTTCCTAGTTGTTTGGTAGAGTGTGGCGAGGTCTCCTTCGCCTGCAGCTTGCTCTGCTTCACATGTCATGGCTTCATAATATTTTCTTTTGTCTTCCCTGGCACTCTTCTTCACTCTTTTGTTCAGCGTATTGTAGCTTGCATTCGGCCCCTGTTTTTGTTGCTCGTCAGTGCACTGGATAATCTTTTGTTTCACCATCCTTCTCTCTTCTATTAGTTTCCAAGTGTCCGCAGTGAGCCACTGTTTGTCCTGTCTCTTCTTTCTGCCTAGAACGTCCATGCAGGTTTGACTCCACAAAGTTTTCAAGTTGTCTTAGTGCTTTTCGACGCCGACCTCTTCGCTAGTGTTGATTTATGTCTCGGCTTTGTCCCTTATGCTTGCAGTGAAGATATCCCTTGAATCCTGGTTCTTCAGTTTTTTTAGTTTTGAACTCGGCTTGTGGTCTATCTGCAGCTCCTGTTTCCCCGAAAGCTTTTAATTTGAATTGGATTGTCCCTTGTACGAGGTAGGGGTCTGAGCTAACATCTGCTCCTCTTCTTACGTTTGTGTCCAGTAGGCTGCGCTTCCACTTCCTTGAGATTGAGATGAAGTCAATTTGATTTTTGGTTCGCCCATCTGGTGACACCCATGTAGCCTTGTGGATATCTTTGTGTTTGTATACGCAGCCACCAATCACTAGTTCATTGAAGGCGTAGAAGTCGGCGAAGAGTTCTCTATTTTCATTCATTTCTCCAAAAAGCGTCTCTACCCATGATGAGTTCCCTTCCTGTGTTGTCTGGTCCCAGTTTGGGGTTCATGTCTCCCATTAGTATTTTAACGTCACAAGCTGGAGTACTGTCCATTGCTACCTGTAGTTGTCTGTAGAATTCTTCTTTCTTTTCGAGGTCTGCATTGTTTATGGGTGCATAACATTGTATAATTGACTCACAGCGGAGATAAGGAGTGTATATGTCATAAGTACCATCGTCAATGATTTTGCTGTTCAGCGTCTTTATACCCTGTCTTCCAGATATGACCCAGGGCTTCAGGCTACAGAGTTTTCTTAGTAACGACTGTGTGGTTTTCATGGGGACTGGAGTAGGTTTGCTAGTCTTACACTCTTAGCCTTCTCTCTTTCCAAACTAGTAACATAGGCGAGATTTAGGAGTACGTTGGCTAGGAATCAAGCCAAGACTGTATTCATCATGGCTAGAGATATTTCTACTGCCGAGACACTAATGCTGACAAAGTCTCTTGCCAGCCCCTCAATCGATATATTTTCTCAAAGTCAACTGAACTGACAATACAGCTTCAGACATCTGGTAAGAACTTCAGGAGACGCTGTGAAAATAATCACCGAGTAACACTGAATTGAGACCAGACTAACAGGCGCTAAAGGAATTCTGTCCATTCTAATGTAGATTTTTTTTTCAAACAAATTCCAATTTTTAAAAACAAACATTCGATGTCAAAGAGAAAAAGAACAAACCAGTGGAGTCAAATAATTTGAGAATGTGAAGACTTCATCTGGGACGACTTCGAAATAAGTCACAGCAGATTTAAACTTCTTAAAACCTGGAGAGAATGCTTCGACGGATCCAAAGCGTTGACTTACTGGTAGACTGGTTGGTTCTCGAGCTTTCAGTTGATGTCGCACATTAATTTTATTCCCTCAGGTTCGAAGGGATCATTGAGCTTCAGTAACACAACTCCACATTCTTCTATTTGGTACCATTCTCTTCAACTGGGTCCACGACCGCACATAATCTCTCATCATCTACTCCCGCACATGATCTCCTGAATGTCAATTTCGCACCGACAAACCACCCCCCACCCACTCCATTCCACTGATATTCTCATGGAGCGATGGGCTGAATTGAGGTCGATTTAATTCGACATCCACCTAAAAGTATACCAAACTGATCCGTCTCCATATTTTCCTTCCTATTTGTTGAGCAATCGATTCTCGCCTGTCAGTTAATTCTACTGCAGAGTTTCTTGTCGCTCATTCCTTCCTGCTGGCTTGATTCCAAACCGTATGTTTGATACAAGTATGGCATTTTCAGCATGTGATATTGGTAGCCCGAATTTTGCAGGCCGACCATTGATATCAGGTGTACATCGGTGGGGGATCAAATCCCGGACCATGTGCATGGTCGGCGAGAGTCTAACTGACTCACAGAATGCAGCCAGCGAAGTAGGCTGTTGTTGTGACTCGCTGGAAATCCTTTCTTCGACTGACAGTACGAGTTTGTTACCCATATGGGAGAACTCATTGACTTCAATCTCTGTTCCGAATCAAGATTTTTTCTTTATTCTAGTTGACTGAAGCAGAAGATTCCTAAACTGGTTTCAAGCTGATGAATGCGTCTGTCTTGCCTTTCCGATTCTGGCTGGTTGATGCCGAAATCTTGATCCATGCTGTCCAAACGCTTGTGTTTGAAACTGTGCTCTTAGATAAACCAAATGAAGTAACTAACTTATGTCAAATCTCTCCGGTTTATTGTGATTGATGATGATTGTTGTTGCTGTTCCCATTGGTTGCTAATCCTCATCACCTGCGTCTCTCTATGTTCGCCTGGAATTCTGTCATCACTGCCAACCAGCTTCTTCAGCCGGTCTGTTAGAGTTTGTGACATTTGACATAAATCATCTGTGAAATCCAGATCTCCTAGGGTTTTCTTATAGGTGATCCAACATATTCCTGTCTTCTCATTACCAAAGCACAGCCTGGAGCATAATGTAGTCTACCACAGTTAGTAATTTCAGTGCTGATAATTGCAAGCGACATTGTCTTATTCCTGTGTTCGCTGCAAACACCCGTCGTAGTTATCCGCTGTGGATCACCTGACATGTGGCATTGCAATATAGCCAACTGTTGAATGAGGCTGATAAAGACTTGATTTCTTGATCTAGTGAATTGTGGACCACCGAGTATTTCTACATTTTGCTTGAAATAAAGTTTTTAAGGCAACTTAGTTTTTTGACCTTCACTTCTTCAGAGGAAGAT